TTGTTGCGCTAACTCGTTGCACGAATGGCAGCTGAATTCCCACGATTATGACAGTGAAGCATCAGATCGGGGGATTATTAAGACGTTTCCGAGTAGAACAAATCGAATTTAAGCTCTCGTGTTCTCGATAAATCCAAAATTTATTCCACTACCATTTTTCATCTCTTAAACAGTGTATATCTGGTATATACATTCGAAATAATTTATTTGAAAATGTATTAAAAATATTTTTATTTTCATTTATTTGGACTAATTATTCATCATTTTTATTTCCCATTTTCATTGCCTCCCCATAAAGAGTCATAAAAATTCTCGTATTATTATACACTTTGTACAAAAGAATTCCCTGCACAATCGGCAAATATATTCTCTCTTCATACATGGAAGCAACAAAGATTAGGAAGAGATTATAATTAAATATAATAATTATCCTTTCAGATAGTTGACAAAGCGTTGACAAAGCGTCATGATTTCCACGTATGAATGAAGCTCCGTTTTCCATTCTAACCTTTCTCTTAGTATTATATAGTATTATTTTTCAATTGAATGAAGAGACTAAGTCCTCACCACGAGGAAAGGTCGTAATCACAGCTGTTTCTTCGATCTTTTTCTTATATAGATAACATCACCTGCAATATCTGGATAAAATTATAATCCAATATAGAACGAATTAATCGTTCGACGCAAGTATAAACGCGCGCAATATCGAATATTGTTATTTTTTTTTTTTTTTTACAATGAAAATTGAAAATTACAATCCGATCCACTCTCTTGAAACAAAATTTTTATTTCTCAAGCATTGTCCGGCATTGTATGTAATTTATAATCATAATTCTCTTCTTTGGTGTTACGTGTGTGTAAAGTGATTTATGGCATGTCTATAATTTGAGTTATGAATAAAGAAAATTATGATAAAGATATACACGAAGAGAGGATAATTCTTTCGAGAATTTTATTTTTTTACGCAAGACGCGAAAGTGTGAGTAATATATAACATTAGCATGGAATTAACCTCCATATCTTTGAATTTTTAATGAAGAAAAAAATAGCTCAAAAGAAAAAAAAAAAGAAGAATATGAATACGACAATACGTACAATTTTTATTTAAGGAATTTAGGTTTTTTAAAAATTTTGATTCACTGTAAAAATATATATGGAAGATTTATCATCGAATATTTAGATACGGGAAAAACACTTTGTAATTTCGAAATAATTATTACTTCAATGTGGAATAAAATTTTAATATCCACATTTAAACGACAATCTTCAAATTTTTATCATGTCATTGAATCCTCAAGGTATTAAGGCAAACGTGAAGTGTCGTAAGTGATCACAAAACGATTTCATAAGATATATAAGATAGTAAAAAGATTATGCAATGTTTTTTTTTTTTTTTTTCACTTTTAATTCCTCTTCCTTTTAATTCCACTTCTCTTTTTCGAATTAAATAATCGTAAATTCGCCATTCCCTGTTAGATTTTTGCTTATTCTTTCATCCGTACGATCCGGATACTTTAATTTAAACGAATAAAAATTTACAATTTGACATTTACAATTAACTTTGGCATTTAGGATACATTAAAGAAATTTTTCGAGCCTCTCAGCTTGAATCTCGTTCGTTATTTTAAAGTTTCATCCATTCCAAACGATGACCTCGACAATTTCGTCCCATTAAAATTTTACGAAGATAGAGAACATAAATTTCTCTAGTTTTTGCTAACAACGACCGACCAATTTTTTCTTTTTTTTTCTTTTCCCATCTTAGAATACCCGGATCATCTTAATATGGATGATAAAACAAA